GTACTTATCCCCTCAGACAGCGCCACTGATCTGCTGCCAAGCTATTGATCACAGTCAGAGTTCGGTGTTAAACTCTTTCATGCTCCTTAACTCATCTTGTTTTAGCGTCTCCTTGAAAATTAAGCAAAATCTAACTCCTCTGTGTTTCCACTCTGGCATATTATGTGTTATTTCACACAAATGATCAGTACTGCTTCATAAATACAGCTTACATGTCCAACACGTGCTGCTCTTTGCATGACCTGCTGGTGAGGAGGTTTATATATTTGGGAGTCCGGCCTGAGTCAGAGGGGATACTGCATTCCTTTAAGATTAAACCAACAAGGGGAAAAACCTTCCTTTTTCTCCGGCAGAGGGGCAGAACAGGTAAGGCCTTGTGTAGGGGCTGTGGCTGCGCTCTCACTCACATCGTTACAGGCTGAACGCAAACATCCAGGAGGCTCAACACTCCATATTTCCCGCTTATAGAAACACGGAGTGTGGCAGCGAAGCAGCCTCGGCCGTTCTGCAGGTCAGCGAGGGAACTCTAAACAATGCTGTTCAGGTTTCCTGCGGTTTGAGTTTGCTGTATCAGCTTTGCTTAAAGCCATCTCCCGACTTAAACAACCTGAATAAAAATAAAAAGCTGAATGTTTGGACGGAAGAAAGGAAAGACAGGACACAAAAGAGCGAGAGCAGAGGTATATGAATCTGGGTTATAATACTGGTGTTCTGTTTCATTAGGGTGAACCGGTTCCAAGATAGACCAATTTTCAAAGTGTTAGGTAGTTACTTCCTCTCTGAGGGCTTATATCGGATAACGGTAATTCGCGCAGCGTGATGCAATTGAAATGGATGAAGGGCTGCAGGATCTTGTTAAGTGTGAAAATAGCAAGCTTCCCTGGCTATTCCAATGGCATTAAGCTACCTGGTAATTATGGTGCGTCCAAAAATTATAGCCATGCGTAGAATGAATTTCCAGAGCCGTCCAAGAAACACACACTAATTTGACTTGTATCCCGAGTAAACACTGTTTGGATATTAAACATTTACATTTTGAGAAAAGCCAAATCAGGAGACGTTAGCACTCATAGCCTTAACGAATAGATTTAGTTGCTCCCTGGAGAAGATTGTTTTCCAGTGTTTTATCAACACGTTTAACAGGCAGAGACTGAGAGTGAGCAAAGTCCACTGGCAGGTTGCCTTGTCATAACAGTGCAATTAGCCCCACAGCTACTGAATATGAGGACAAAAGCAGCGATAATACACAGTATTACTCACAGTGCCTTGTGAGTATTTACACTCAGCTCAGTGTTTGTTGTTGCAGTCTCCATATTACAGGGGTGAGCGTAATCTCACGCCTCTCCTGCATGTTTTTTTAACTCCTCGCTGCTTCATTTGGAAGGAGGAGACGCAGATTTTGTGGACGAATCAGTGATTCTGGGATAACAAAAGTTTGCAAGTTGACACTAGATGAAAAGAAAAAGCCCCAGAGTCAAGGCTTTTCTTGTTTTCTGCATTATTTTAATCAGCATTTCAGATGTAACGGATCAAACGCTTTATATGATCAAATGCAAATACTTGAGAAAAACATACATAACTTTCCCATCCTCACCAGTGGGAAAGACGCATTTGAGTTCCATTACAATCACTGGTTATAGTTTTCTCATGACACTCTCACTTGGACTTTAACAACTACCTCCAGCCTCTTTAGGGCGTAATCAACCCGCCATTCAGCCTCACTACACTGGAGAGAAAATACAGCCCAATTAATCTATCTCTGATTAAACACTGATCACATTAACACGCTGCACCTCCTTGATTACTCGTAGGAATTACATAGACTAATGTGCACCCCCAGCACTAATAAGTCCTAATAGCTTGTACGGCTCGCAAAAACACACAGCGCCATTTCACTCCATCAATATGACCCTGCTGGGATTAAATAACATGTTTGCCTCAGAGGTACAATTAAGCATCGCTAAATAGAGTTCCTTTTAGCGTGGAGTTAAGGGGAAGAGTCTTCTCAGCACAGTAGCATCCAGTGAAACGCTCAGATTTTTCCCCCCTGGCTTTTTCAAATTACCTATTGATGAGTGGGCTTCACGTTCCCCCCCTGGCTGGGGGGAGGCAGGGGGGGGGGATGTCTGGTTCACTTTTAAGATGTCTCCAAGAAGCAGGCCTGTGGTTAGATCTAAAGCAACACTTATGCAACAGAAGCTGCCTTTCTCAAATACATATACGGTTTCCCTGCAAATTATCAGAGATTTTCTTTCAGGGAAAGTTTTTCCGCTCCGGAGTTTTCAGATATTTACCCACATCAACCCGCGATCCTTTTGATCGTGTTGATTTGGGTTCGTCTGTGTAAGCAATTTTTTTTTTCTGTCTCTCTTTACTGAACAATAATTGCTCCCATGACTTAATTGTCTATATGTAATTAAGTTTGTAATAGAGAAAATAGGCACTTAAATGTTCCCCAGAGAGGCACGGTGGTTGAGTGGGTGCCACACATGTTGAAGATTACTCTGCCCTCTCCATCTGATGTGCCAGGATGAGGAGTTATAAAAAAAAATGTATTTGAGCCAATTAAATGAAAATTGCTTGATGTAAATGCCAAGACAAATTTTAATGAGACCCTCTTTTTTTTCTCTTCTCAATTTGGAACATTTGCCTTGCTCCATCAAGTCGGCTCATCGCTGGTAATGTGCGCTCAGCCCCCTAAATTAGAAATGTCCTTCGGTACAACTTTACAGATGGGATAGAGACGTGTGGCTTTCTAACAAACAAAACAATATTTTGTAACTTGTGGCCACAGCAAACCGGCCGATGCCAGACAAAATGGATCCAGAAGAAACACAGAAGAAGTTGAACTTAATATATAAAATCAACCCAAAATCCAGGACGTGAGATTAGTTAAAAATAAGTTTTGTCCAACAAATAGATTTAAGTTCAAGAATCAAAATTAAAACACAGAAATATATGAACTGAAAAAGTGTTAACTGAATTCATCATTCAACTGAAAATCACATCATTATTTCTTGGATCAAAAACATAAATATTTAAGATGCTGTTCCTAATTTTGACAGTCCTTATACAGTACAGCACACTACATGTATTTACTTTGAATTAGAAATACAACAGAAAGCGCTGGAGGTCTTGCAAAATCAAATTACAGAGTCGAGGGGACTTTTTGTGGTTGCACTGACAGATTTACTACCCAGATGTTCACAAGTTGGGGCAACATAAATGGGCCGTAGCCCAATATCAATCAACAATATTTAATATGAGAATCGATTGGTGATTATCTCCCCTCTCATGTCTCCCCTCCATTTGAACATCTGCACACATCTGCTCTTCTCTGTCCATCTCTGGCTCTCCACTACAGTATGCTTTCAATTTCCTGCCGCGCTGCTCCTCTCCGCTCCTGCGCTCCGACCCCGGAGACACAGTGCGAGGTCAGGGGGTTAACGTGGTAATAGGTGGTGGTGATTGGTGGAAGACGCTCGCTCACTCCGTGGCTTTCAGAGCGTATTAGGAGCCACCCCTGCTTCTGTTCAGAGTGGGAGCCCAGAACAGCTGTGTCTGACCACGGAGCGGCTTCTTAAAAAACATCTTTTATACATCTGATTTGGACAGAGGAGAGGAGGCTATGGACCGGAGCGAAGAAAGAGAGAGAGTAGGGTGTATTACACTCAGCCTGTCAATTTCTTGTGTCGTACGGAAATGACAATGTTTGTTTGAATTTGAAATTTATTCTGGCAAACCTGAAATATCATCCATTTCAGCTGATTAAATTCAATTTTTTTAAAGAAGTTGTCTTAGTAGAACGCAGCCAATGCCAAAATAGAGGCCCCCCAAAGAAAAAAGAAAAACTGGAGCATGCAAATCAGCCTTCACAAATAATTGAAAATCATGAAGTTGACACGGCCACTGTTCCCAGGTCTTGAATCATTTGCTGCATATTCCCTATAGATCCATCGTGGGAGCACAGGAGAATGTTGTTTAAAGGTTTTCACAAATAAAGAATAGATGGATATAAGGAATTAATTAAACTCAACATTGTAATTGTGCAAATCCAAGAAAAAACGAATATTTAAAATTTAAAGAAAATGTGTCTTTATGGTTTTGATACATGTAGACACAATTGGGATCATAGGATATAATCCCAAACAAGTCAAACTTTGTGATTCACAGAAAGGCAGCAAGTTGTGTCATATCAAAGTGATTGTTTAGAGTTCAAATTAATTATTACAGTGCTTTAATTACAAATTCATAATATGGAAGTGGATATGGAGCCACTTTTGGTTCAATTTGGATTCATTTTTGTTGATTAAACGTTCCCCAGAGGCTGCGGAAATCGACGCAGATTAATTAATGGCAGCAGTGAGACTGAACATTTCCAGGAAGCAATTACAGGCCTTTTATTGGCAAACTAATCAATACTTCTTCCCTACACATAACAGAGACACCCAACACACACAACACAGTAATCCCCACATCTTGTTCCAATGCTCCACTGTAAACTCTCTAGTGCAGTGTCTGTTTACATTTGTCAAAACTATCACCCCTGCTTTTGTTTTTGGTTCCGCAATGCCATTGCTTTGTAAATCTAAGGGTATGTTGCACAAACATGTCATCTCCCTCTTTCAAAAATATTTATAAACATCACATAGAGTAAATACTGGGATATCTAAATGCGGAAAGAAAGCGATCTTCTTTTTTTTTTCTTTTTGGGATTTGCGCACCACAGTAAAAAGCCGTGATGGTAGTCAGGTCTTTCTCCCACCACAAAAGCTTGGACCTTGGTAGCAAGGGTCCTCAATGACCTCAGCTGATCGCCCCACACTCATCTGGACCCAAACCCTTCAATCGGATCCAACATCCTTACCCGCTTTACCCAGACCCCTTCACTCTTCCATCCAAACCTCAACACCTGACCCCAAGTCATCCCCGTGACCTGAGCCCCTGAACCCAGCTCCAAACACAGAGACAACAACGGAGACCGGAAAAGCTGTACTCACCCCAGAAGAAGTTTTGTTGACATGGTGTCACTGTGCTGAAAAGGCTGTTAGATGCCATAGCTGCCTCTGGTTGCAGCAAGCCCCACTTTTGTTCCTCTGTGGTTTCCGTGACCCTTGACACGTCCTAAACCAAGAGCACGCAGCATGTCATGAAGAAAAAAAATGGAAAAGCCATCCACAAGACATGCTTTTACGTATCAACTATTTGGATGACCACAAGTAACAACCAGGTTTGGTTTTATAGAGAAAAAAAGTGCAGAGGCAAATATCGCCTTTGCGGATAGATCAGATGGTGTCGGACTTGCTTGCTTGGCGAGTGTGGTTGGAACGTACTTACTCGCTTAGCGCCGTCCTTGTGACTGGTGCTGGCCCGCGACGATTAACCATTTACACTCCAGGTCGCCCTCAAACACCAACCCCGAGCCGCACGTCTGTGGTTCTGTGGTTGTTTGGGAGGCGAGCAGAGCCCTCACACAACCCAAAAGGCACCAGCTTTAAAACTCGTCTCTTTCCTGCCCTCCATGTGCCGTCACTGGAGAGCCTGGGTCACATGCCCTCTGACGTCATCACGGCAGAGCAATTGAATGGGACAGCCTACCGTTGTGGCTTTCTTCCCTCTCCTCTCTCTTCTCGTCTCTTCTCCCTGGACTTTTTTCTCTCTCTGGCTCCCCTCCTTCTCTGTTGCGCGTGGTTCGGCAGCGTTTCAAGCTCTCTAGGGGATCGGGATCTGACGCTCCCATGAGTCAGGAGGCTTCAGTGGGGGCAGCTTGTTCAACCACCCATGCCTCCTCAGCATATGGGGAACAGCGTTCCCTCAGCTCTGCTCACCCTTCTCTCTCTCTCTTTCACCCCCCCTCCCTTCTCTCTCTCTTTCAATGTGTCTCTCTGACTCTGCTGCTCCTTCCCTCAACTCCTTTAACAGGCTGCCGTGCTGCTCCTGTCTGCCTCTGAGCACGGAGAGCTGAGCTTGGTAAGATTTGAGGGTGTGAGTGAGGAACGAATGGCTGGCTGGCGGCGTGATATTGGGTGTGTACATGTGAGTGTGTGTGTAGAGCAGAGAGAATGGGGGAAGAGAGGGACAGACAGGCTGTGTGTGTGTGTGTGCGTGTGTGTAAGTGGAGGTGGTGTGAAAACAGCTTATTTACAGATGAGTGTCTAGCGAGTTGCCTTAGTGTCACTTTTTTGCAGCTTGAACTTGCTCTCCTGCATTCTTTACATTGCTGTGTCACAGACAGCAGTCTTAGTTATACTTATTATTAATATAAAACATTTGTGCATGTGCACGTAGGCATGCCAGCCCATGCCGAGCTTAAGTGTCTCTCATAGACAATTCCTCTAACAGGCTGTAACTCATTGCCACTTGTCCTCTCTGTGAAAGAGTTTGCTCCTCACAGTTATACTAACACTTGGAAACGTACACTATAACACAGACACCTTCCATGAATGGCCTGCCAACATGTAGTGGATTACAGGGAACTTGTGACAATAACGATGATTCATCATACTTCACCAGGCACAGATTCCCACGCTCGCACATTCAGCACAGAGCCTCACAGGTCCAAGCACAGTGTCATGCCTCGCCTTTGATCATCACAGGAGTTTGTTACAACAGATACAAAACGGAGACGAGGTGTTGGTACAGAAGAAGAGGGATACAGACAAGAGCAAGGAGTTCCATTAGAGTGGGCAAGCATGATGCAGTAAAGAAAGGAACAGTGCCCCAACCCCATCTGAATCAGTGATTTGCATAAATATATTGCAGTGGTTGAGTTACAACCTGTGATTTGAAGGGATAGTCCATCACCATTAAAAAATACACATGTTCTTACTTCTGTCTAATGGTGTTTAGCCCATGCAGGTAGTGTTGGTTCTTTAATTTCTGTACCTCCACCAAAATGCATATGAGGTGAAGAGGATTTTGCTTCTGTTGCTTACTGCATTGAAAATTACACTTCAGTATCACTTTCTACAAAGAACTTTCCCATTACTGTGATTATACATAGTCCTTATTGTAAACTACTTTCTACCAAACCAATACTCCAGACAAAAGCTGTTCACACTGTGTTTTGTAGAGTATTCCTATGTTTTTAATTCAATTTCTGAGCATGACAAAACAAACATACTTTTACTTGTATTTACTTGTATTAGGTGACAGTGGAAATCTCAGAGACATATTTAATGTGTTACTCAACACTCAATAGTTAATATAAAGTACAGTATAATATGCTCAATATCTAATATACGTGTCTTTATTTAATATATGTTTTTGGTCCAATAAAACCAAAAAGAGCACTGTTAATGATATACTAATGATATAAATGTATTTAGTTTTTACAAGAAAGTTACAACACAGCCCAAAGATAACATAAAATCAGTCTACATCAATGATGTACATTTATTGTAATGAATAGGAATCAATCATCAATTTAGTAATTGTAACTCATGTTTGCAAATGAAAATTGAGATTATATAATAATTGTACAAAATAAAGAACCACAACCGAAACAATTCTTATTGCTGTATCTGTAAATACTCCAACTAAAGTTGTTCTTAAGCGGTCGACTATTTCTTTCAAATCTTGATATACTTAATATAGCATCAGAAAAAAAAGTGAATAAAAGTGTCAAACATAAAATACTAACCCCCCCATATTCTGCACAACAGCATTTCCACAAGTCTTCTCCACCGGACTTATTTTTGTATAGTGAAACATTTTCCTTGGCCCAATGCTTTATAAATATTTGCTGTCTAAAACAAGAACATGCCTCTTGAGTTGCAGCGCATGTTACAGAATCCTTAGGGAAGGGCCATGCACACGCACACACACACACACACACAC